CTAAAAAAAAAAAAAGCAGAAAGATACTCAAATTGTTTATCTGCAGTCACAGGTCTCTCAACTGGAATGTCTCTGATACTGTATTTTTTTTCACAGTATACATGAATCATTTTTTTCACGTGCATTTTTAAAAGTGTTTGCTCTTGATCCATTTTCCTTGTGTGGCCAACAGAATTAATTCCCAGGAGGCCCTCATGCTTGCCAGTACAGACATGAACAACAAATTATCAAAATCTGAGCTTTCAGCCTAGAAAAAAGGAGAAGAAAGCTACCGGTTGAAGCAGAAAGATGAATGTCATGCCTATGAGACATGTATGCATGTTGCTTGGAAATATGAAGCTATTCTTTATTTACATCAAGCCAGTAAATATACTCACATATGGCATTTTAAGGCCTAGAAGTCAAAATCAGAAAATGTTAGTGATTACAGGCTGCTCTCAGAGTGAAGATAAATAACAGAGTTGAAATTATTTCTAAAGAAGCCTTAAAAATATTCTGAGGACTTACCTATTTTTTAAAATGGTACTGTTAAAAGATTGGCGTAATATTTAAAATGATTTTCTAGAAACAAGTTTTACTTCCATAAGAGCTTTGATTAAATACCTCATCATGGTGATTAAAGCTAATTACACTGTGGTCCTTCTCAGCCCCCTTTAAAAAGTCATGTGCAATGCTGGCGGGGTAGCTCAGTTGGTTGGATCCAATGTGCCAAGATTCTGATTTGATCCTCAGTCAGGGCACATACAAGAATCCACCAATGAATGCATAAATAAATGGAACAACAAAAATTGACATCCATCTCTCTCTCTTCCCACCCCCACCTTTCCCCCTTTTCTCTAACATCAATAAATTTTAAAAAAAATTTTTTTAAATCATGAGCAAAGCTTCAAGCACTTGAATCTGGTGTGTTTTCCTCCAAGACCACTTCAAGGTTTACTACACCTTGCAGAGGGCTGTTAATTATCTACTACCTATTTTCTTAGTTATCCTGACATTCTTCCTGCCTTCCCCAAATATATTCTGAGTGATTGAAGGCAGAAATTCTTTATCTGTCATTTAAAGATTTATTTGTTTATTATTTTTTTTTAGAGAGAAGGTAAAGGAGGAAGAAGAAGAGGGAGAGAAACTTCAATGTGTGAAAGAAACATGGATCAGTTGCCTCTTGCACACCCCAGCTGGGGACCTGGCCTGCAACCCAGGCAAGCACCCTGACACAGAACTGAATGAGTGACCCTTCAGTTCCCAGGCTAGTGCTCATCAATCCACTGAGCCACACGCACTGGGGCAATCTGTCCTTTAACTCTCCTTTATTCTAACATGTAATAGGCACTGGAAAATATCTTTCCCTTGATTATCAGGCCATATCACCATAAGGCAGTACTTTACTACCTTGTGATTGCAAAGAAGAAAGATGCCCTCTGTTGTCATTCCAGGTGGTAACCAAAACTAGAGCTTAGTAAACCTGTATGTATTACTTTTGCATGTATAATTTACATGTATATATGTAAAATTATTAACTGCCTTCTCTTTCAACATTTAGGCTATAAAGGCAAATGTTGAATAATAATGTAAGGCACAAACCAATTAAATACATAACAAACAGGCTATGTATAATGCAATCCCATGTACAATGCACACCCATGTTTGGGGCCCAAACGTTCAGGGGAAAAAAACTTTCATTTTAATGTTTTAATTCAATTTTTTAATTTATATTTAGAAACAAAAACAGTTATATTCCAGATTATTATTTTGCATACAAATATCATTATTGCTTTCTAGAGTTACACTTTTAATGGATAGGCATAAATAAAAGAATTAAAAACATTTATATAGATACAGAATTAGTACTACCCATGTATAGTGCGTATCCTTATTTTTCCCTCAAAAATTTGGGCAAAGAGTATACATTATGCATGGCAAAATACATAGATAGATAGATATATCTATATATATATATACACACAGAAGGTGTTCAGCCATGTAATATGAAAAATAGAGACATTTATTGAAGGAGATACAAGAGACATTATACATAGGACAATGATGCCTCAGTCCCCTTCAAAGTAGGCACCTTAAGACCTCACACAGTTCTCCCAATCACCATCAGCTGCCCTGTCGTATTTTCCTGAATCTTATCAATGGTCTGAAATCTCTTCCCTTTCAAAGGCAATTTTAGTTTTGGGGAAAGCCAGAAGTCACAGGGTGCCGAATCTGGGCTGTAGGGGGACTGACTCACTTGGGTGACTTGATGTTTTACCAAAAAACTCTGCATGAGGTGTGATACACGAGCAGGTGCTTTGTCGTGATGAAGCTGCCAGTCATCAGCTGCCCATAGCTGTGGCCTGCTGAATCATCAGAATAGTTTCTATGGAGGAATGTTCAAGCTTAATGCAAAATTTGATGCAGATTCATTGTTCTACTCACTCAGTTTGAATGCAACGTCCACATAGTACACACACTCAATGGTGTCTACCACTCCCGTTGACTAGTACAATGAAGTTGTCATTGTTCATGCATGTGCATTCCAGTCCACTCTCCTTGGCTGTCAGGTTACATTGATGTCACGCAAACCATTCTAGTTAAGACTTTTTCTGGACAGACCTCATATGTAGGTACTTTAAGCAATGTGTACTTTACCACAATCCATGTATTCATTCTCCTGGTGATGGACATTTAGGATGTCTCCAGTTTATAGCTCTGACAGTGTTGCTATAGACATTTTTTGTGCATTTATCTGGTTTATATAATACTCCGGAGCTGTACGTGTTTTCAATTTTACTAGATATTGCCAAATTATTCTCTAAATTCTCCAATTTGTCCACTCTACATCAAACTAAAGGCTTCTCTGCACTGCAAAGGAAACCTTTAACAAAATAAAAGGCAACCTAAGGAATTGGAGAAAATATTTGCAAATCATGTATCTGAAAAGGAGTTAATATCCAAGATATAAAGAACTCACACGACTCGACATAAAACAGTATGATTAAAAAAATTGGCAGAGGTTCTGAATAGACATTTTTCCAAAAGAGACCTACAGCTGATTCACAAGTACATGAATAGATGCTCAGCCTCACTAATCATCAGGGAAATGCAAATCAAAACAACAATGAGCTATTGCTTCACACCTGTTAGGATAGTTACTGTCAAAAATATGGCTAAGATGTGAAGAAAAGGGAACCCATCATGCACTGTTGGTGGGAATGTACATTAGTGCAGCCACTGTCGAAAACAATATGGAAATTCCTCAAAAAATTAAAAATAAGACTACCAAGTGATCCAGCAATTCCACTTCTGGGTATTTAGCTAAAGGAAACAAAAACGCTAACTCAAAAAGATATCTGCACCCCAGTGTTCATTGTGGTGTTATTTACAATAGCCAATACATGGAAACAACTTAAGTGTCCATTGATGGGTGAATGGATAAAGAAGATGGGCTATATACGATTGAATATTATTAGCCATAAAAAAAGAAATGCGGCCTTTTAGGTAGCATGGGTAGACCTTGAGGACATTATGCTAAGAAAAATCAGACAAAAAGATAAATATTCTATGACTTCACTTATATGTGAAATGTAAAAAACAAAAAATTGAACTCATAATACTCATAGATTCAGAGAACAGATCAGTGATTGCTAGATGTGGGGTAGGATTGGGGCAAATGGGTGAAGGTGGCCAAAAGTACTAGCTTCTAGTTACAAAATAAAGAATTCAGCCCTGGTCGGGTGGCTCAGTTGATTGGAATGTTGTCCCAATGTGCCCAGGTTTTGGGTTCCATCCTCCACCAGGGCACATGCAAAAGTTCACCATGAATGCATGGATGGATGGAGCAGCATGTTGGTGTTTCTCTTTCTTTCTCACTCTCTCCCTCTCTCAGCCCAGAATCAATCAGTGAAGAAAAAATAAAAATCGTGGCAATGTAATTACAGCATGGTAATGTGGGGAAGGAAGAAACTCTACTCTCAAAATTCTTTGGCTAGTCTAATAATCAAACAGATTTGAAACAGATTAGCAAGTGGAAATTACCAAATTTAGTGCATACATATGTATGAGGACCCTGAATACGTAAGAGAGAGACTCCACATGCACAATGGGTTCAGAACAGAAATAGAATGTGGGTATGTAAGACATCCTGAGCTAGGGATGAAGCAAGGTGCCTCAGGGGCTTTGAAGGGTCATTGCAGGATGATAAAAAAAGCAGATATTCAGTAAATAGTAGTTTTCTTGCCCTACAGATAGGTAAGGAGAGGTTATCTCTGATAATCTTTTATTATGGGCAAGGCCCCTAATTCAGATTCTTCTAGGTAGTGTAGGAAGGAGCTTAACTCTCTTTAGCTCTGAAATTGCCTTTAGCTCAAAACAATCCACATACCACATATACACATCTTGGGGTGGCTCATACTGAACCCCCACAGTAACTATGGTTAATAATACTCTATTGCGTTTTTGGAAGTTGCTGAAACAGCAAATCTTTAAAGTTCTCATCACAAGAAAAACAATTTGTGACTATATGTGGTGACATGCTTAATTAGACTTGTGATCATTTTGCAATATATCAAATCATTATGTTGTCCACCTGAAACTAATATAATGTTATATGTCAGTTATATCTGTCAACATAAGAAATGTCCAAGCCTGCAGAGCATTTTTATAAGAGTTTATTTGATCTAACCTGAAACATGCCAGGGAATAAGATCTCAAGTGCTCTGAAGAATAACACTTTTGCAGCATCAGGACTTGAATTACTGGGTAGTTAACAAGATTATCTGCTTTCTTAAGGATGGTTACACTTATTTCAAAGGTGTGTTAACCTAGCACAAAAACAATGAAGAGGGCTTGCTTAAGGCAAAGACAAACCATTTACTAAAAGTTATAGTAAAGTCATAGGCCTGGGCCATGACTACCCTCCAGACCTACCCAGTTACAAATTTAAGATCAAATCACCCTATGAGGTTACTTTCAATAGACCCCCTTTTTCATGCACATATCAATTTAAAAAGTTAGTGCTCACTTTGGCAGTACATATACTAAAATTAGAACAATACAGGGAGAATTAGCATGGCACCTGTGCAAGGATGACACGCAAATTTGTGAAGTGAAAAAAAATAATATGCTCTCACCATCAGTGTGTGAGAACACCGATGACTCTGTATTAGCAATTTTCAACTGTTTTCATTTCATGGCACACACAAGCTAATTACTAAAATTTGTAATCTAGGTTGTAGGTCCTTGTTTTTCATCACTTTGAATACTTCTTGCCAGTCCCTTCTAGCCTACAAAGTTCTTTTGGGAAATCAGCTGACAGTCTCATGGGAACTCCTTTGTAGGTAACTCTCTACTTTTCTTGCTGCTTTTAAGATTTTTTTTTTGCTCTGGCTGTTGTGGCTCAGTGGACTGACTGCCAGCCTATAAATGAAAGAGTTGCCGGTTCAATTCCCAGTCAGGGCACATGCCTAGGTTGTTGGTCCCTAGTAGGGGGTGCACAAGAGAAAACCACATATTAATGTTTCTCTCCCTCTCTTTCTCCCTCTCTTCCCCTCTAAATAAATAAATAAAATAAATTTTAAAAAAAGATTCTTTCTCTTTAACCTTTGGCATTTTAGTTATGATGTGGCTTGGTGTGGTCCTCTTTGGGTCTGTCTTGTTGGGGACTCTCTATCCTTCCTGGACTTATATGTCTATTTCCTTCACCAAATTAGGGAAGTTTTTTTTTCATTATTTTTTCAGATAAGTTTTCAATTTCTTGCTCTTCCTCTTCTCCTTCTGGCACCCCTATGATCTGGACATTGGAATGTTTAAAGCTCCAATGTCCAGATTATAAGGGTGCCAGAAAATATATTTTTTGCAATCTGACACATTAAAAAATATTTTTTTTTTGCCAATCTGACAAAAAATAGGTAATTTTGATTCCCTCCACCAGATGGCTATTGTGTCGGCTCTTGTTATTTTTTAATTTGACATTCTAAGGGAAAAGAGGTCAGTGCCCCTGACTAGATAGGTATTGCATGTTTTAAAAATTCTTGCAGCCCACCAGTGTGTCTGACACCAATTGGCACCAATGTGGAACACCAGTTGAAAATAGCTGCTCTGTATCCTCAAAACTTGTCATACTTTCATACTTTGCCAAATTCCTGAATATAAAATAATATCTCATTGTGGCTTTAATTTTGTAAGTTCTTAATTGCTAGTGAGGTTAGGCATTTTCATGTGTTCATAAGCCATTTACGAGGTTTTTTTCCTTGTGAACTTGTGGTTGTATGGTAAAGAATGTGATCTGTCCCCAAAAGAGATTTGGCCTCTGCCGTAAGCTTCTTAGAGGTAATCTCTAAGCCCTTGGAATGTCGTCCTGCTAAGGGGAGTGTCTTTGTTTGCCTGAGGGCCTTGGGTCATAATGATGTGATTGATGACATCATTTATGGTAGTAGTTTAGAGTTATCATTTGAGTTTGGTATCAGCCTAGCCTCCATAGAGCTAGAGCCTGAAGTCAGCCACCAGGACAGTCAACCACGGAGCCCCAGCAAAGGCTCTGGACACCAGCGTGTGGATAAGCTTCCCTCGTTGGCAATGTTCCACACATAAGCATCGATGCTGGGAAAATAATGCTGTCCTGATTCCAAAGAGGCAGTTGAGAGCTCTGCATTTGGTTCTTTTCGGGCTGCCTTATGTGCTTTTTTTTCCTTGGCTCATTTTAATGTTTGTTTGTATTTATTTTGACTCAATAGGTCATTTATTTCTTGTTTTCCTTTTCAAAACATTTTATTTTTCAATTACAGTTTACATTCAATATTTTTCTATTAGTTTCAGATAATTCATATTTTAGTCTTTTAAAGATCTTGAAGTCCTATTGATTTTAATCCTTTCTTTGTGATAAACTGTAACTGTGAGTATAACAGCTTTCAAGGAGTTCTGTGAATCCTTTTAGAGAATTACTAAACCTGAGTATGGTTTTGGGAAACCCCAGCACATAGAGTTGGTGTCAGAAGTGAGGATGGTCTTTACATGGTGCCCTCTAAGTTTGCAATAGGTGACTTTTCTTTTGTCCATATCCTATTATGTTGTTTATCTTGTTTTAAAATTGAGTTGTAGAAGTTCTGATACATTCTTGGTATTAATCTTTTTTATTGCTTTATGCATTGCATATGTCCTTTTTTTTAATGTTAAGATTTAGATTTTATTTATTTTTAGAGAGAGGAGAGAGGAGGGAGAGAAATATCAATGTGTGAGAAAAACATCTGTCAATTGGCTCTTGCACACCCCCAGCTGGGGACTTGGCCTGTGTCCTGACTGAGAATTAATCAATCAATCAATCACTTTATTTATTTATGTTCATTCCTTTCTTATGCAGAGTTCACATTTGTTCAATTAAAAATAGGATCTGTAGCCCTGGCTGGTGTGGCTCAGTGGACTGAGTGCTGGACTGTAAACCAAAGGATCACCGGTTCGATTCCCAGTCAGGGCACATGCCTGGGTTGCGGGCCAGGTCCCCAGTAAGAGGCATGTGAGAGGCAACCAAGCGATACCATTTATGTTTCTCTCCCTCTCTTTCTCCCGCCCTTCCCCTCTGTCTAAAAATAAATAAAATCTTAAAAAAAAAAATAGGACCTGTAGCTCTTGCCCAGTGTCGCAGTTGATTGAAGCATGTTCTGTACACCAAAAGGTTGTGGGGTTGATCCCTGGTCAGGGCACATACCCAGTTGGGGAGCATGCAGGAGGTAACCAATCGATATTTCCCTTTTACATCAATGTTTCCCTCTCTCTCCAAAATCAATAAACATATATTCAGGTAGGGATACAAAAACATATGTACGGCTGTAAAGCAAAGTTATAGAATTTCAAAACTAAATCTTTTATCATAGTTGAGCCTTCAATTGTTTATTTTGTTTTGTTTCCTTTTTTGAGAGCCAAATTGCAATGTCTTTCCATTTGTGGTTTGTTTTCAGTCATATGCTTTGCTAAAAGCTTCCAAAGGTCAGGTGTTTTTTTTGGCACACCATTCATTGAATAAATTCATAAAAGATTTCCAACTTGCTAAACAAAAGAACTCAAAACATGCAGAACCCATGTATAAAAAAATTGTTCATTATCAATGAGGACAACACAGGTTGATTTAGAGTAGTTCTTCAATGCTTCAAACATTTCTAATGTCTGCTCGGTGGTGGGCAACAAAAAAGTGCAGACTGCTGTGCCACTTTTTAAGAAATAATTATTTAACATCAGCTTTCACAGATACTTTGTTGTTTGGTTACCTTGTGCATACATTTTTAAAAACCGGCAACTTTTATCAAAACTACAATGAGAAATGACTTCTCATCCATTAGAGTGGTTATTATTTAAAATAAAAAAACAAGTGTTAGATAATTTGGAAGGCTTGTGTACTGCTGTTGGTACTGTAAAATGGTGCAGCTGCTGTGGAAAACAGTATGGTGGTTCCTCAAAACATTAAGCGTAGAATTACTATATGATTCAGCAATTCCGCTTTTGGATACATCCACAAAAGATCTAAGCAGGGACTCAACCAGATATCTCTATACCAGTGTTCATAGCAACATTACTCACAATAGCCAAAAGGTAGAAAAAAATCCAAATGTCCATGGGTAAAAGAATAAACAAAATGTGCTACATAGATACAATGGAATATTCTGCCTTAAAAAGGAATAAAATTTTGATACATGCTACACATGGATGAAGTATGAAGACATTAGGCTAAGTGAAATAAGCTATACATAAAAGGATATTTATGAGTCCACTTGTGTGAGGTTCTTAGAGTATTCAAATTTATGAAGAAACCAAAACAGCGGTTACCAAGGACTAGGAGGATGAGGGAGTGGGGAACAGCGTTTAAACTGTAGTTTCAGTATGGGATGATAACAAAGTTCTGGAAGTGGATGGTGGCGATGGCTGCATAACAATACAAATATACTTAATGCCACTGAACTGCCCTTCTAAGTGTTTAAAATGGTAAATTTAATGTCATGATATTTCACAATAAATTTTTTTTTAATTGGTAAACTTTAACAGCTATAATATGATTGTTTGCTTGTTTGGACATTTATAAATTATGTGTGCATCACAAAAAATCCCAAGTACACTTCTGCTCCATGGGTTTCTTTTTTTAGGATGAACATTTTCATCACAGTGTGTATTCATCCAAATTTATACTCATATTGTCACCACACAATCATTTTTTCTTCAGTGTTGAATTTTTAAACTGAATTTGGATTAGTATTCATCATAATAGCAGATGTTTCATCTTTGAGAGAATTTCCAGAGGTTTGCTTTTGTTTTATAAACTGGCCGAAAAGAAATCTTTTTAAATAACCTTTTCAGGAATGAATTTAATATAAAACTTTCATCCTGTAACTGTTTTTGAAGTTTTCTGCTAATACAGCTAGTACATGAATAGCTACCATTCCACTTTTTATATGTGCACAGAAAAACTTGGAATTGAAAATGCATGAAAATAATTTAAAAGGACTCTGATATAAATGCAAAATTATTCACAGAATGATGTTAATGTATCTTGTGCAACTACACGCCCTAAATATCACTAGAACACTCTTCTTAATACAACTATGAACTGTGAAAGTAGATGATGTTGCTTCTTCACAGTTTGTCTTCCAGTTTTCAGGTGAACATTTTTATCACTTTGCTCTTCCCCCCACTGTAGATGGTACCATGAACATTTTATTCAATTACTAGTTTATTATCAGTCTTTCTTTTAAAAAAATTTTATTTATTTCCTTTTAGAGAGAGAGGAAGAGAGGAAGAGAGGAGAGAAACATGATGGTTGCCTGTCACAGTCCCCCAACTAGGGACCCGGCCTCCAACTTAGGCATGTACTGTGTGACCAGATACTGAACTGGTGACCTTTGGGTTCTCAGGCTGGTGCTCAATCCCCTGAGCCACACCAGCCAGTGCTATCATCAATCTTCTTGAGAAACAAAAGTATTTGATTTTTAAAATTAAACATACACTTTCATTTTATTATAATTGTTGCCCCCATGGTTCATTGCAGAGGGCTAACAGCATGTCCTCACTGGGCAACTTGGTCTATGGATGGATGTGACTGTAGCCGTTACACATAGGTCTCAGGTCGTCCTCTATGCAGTGGCTTTTGTTTTAACTCCACCGTGCAAGTCCTTGGAGTTGGCCAAGGGACAGCCTTCTCTAATTCCTGGGATGGCCACAACCCTCAGGGCAGCCGGTGGCTTCGGTGTATGCTCATCAGCCTGGTGGGATTTCTTCACTTTCTTGTAAATTCATCTTTAAAAAAGATGTCTCTTCTCTAAAATGGGGATGATGATGATGATATCAATTCTACAGAGCTAAAGCATTTGAAACAGTACCTGGCAAATAATTAGCAGCATTAAAGCGTTAGATTGCTATTCTTTTATCTAGTACTTTTATGTACTTATTGCAGGAAGGTTTTAAGAAATTTTGAGTCCAGTACATTTGGATGTGCAGCATATTTATATATTGCGTAACAACTATTATAAGTAGTTTTTATATTAAATGTCTGTTTGGGTAGGCAATTTACCACTGCACTGTCTTTATGTAACTGTACCTTCCTAAAGTCGCATAAGGAACGTTTATGTATTTTAGAAAAATATGGTTTTCATTTATAAATATAAAATTTTGTGTAAGCTATGATTCAGCAGTTTTAAGTCTAAAATCAGTGAAGGGAACTGGGGTTACCACTAGTCTTTCCTTACTGTAAAACAGCACAAAATTGCTTAATTTCAATTTTATGAGAAATTTCATTTTTACTGATTAAAAACATGATTGTGCATGTATATGAAAATACATTCAAATATTTAGATACATTATTTACTTTTTGTGTGACTTCATATGCTTGATATAAAAGAACTGTAAATTCATTTTACTTGCTAAAAATTACCAACACAGTGTGGGGCAAAAGTAGGTTTACAGTTGTGAGTATGAGAAACAGAGTTTATTCTTATGAGAAACAGAGTTTGTTCTTATATTATTTATTATTTTACTTTACTTCCTTTACTTATTTTATTTAATTATTAACTGTATTATTTTTCATACAAACAATTGTAAACCACTACTTTTGCCCCACTCTGTATTTTGATTTTGGTGTACTTTTCATCAGAATTTTTGGGATATGATATTAAGATTCTAGAAAAATAAAAGATGACAATACTCCACTAAATAAAAGCAATTGGGGGTGAGAAACGGAAGCTGTCCGGAATGTACAACCAAACCATAGTGCACATTTAAGTTCTAACATATTTTTAGTTTCAACAATTCTTAAAATTCATTTTCAAAAAGCATGCCCACCATATTTAAAATATGTATCTTAAACATCTAAAATAAATTTTTCTCCTTTTACCAAAAAGAAAAGTCCTAGTGAAATGGATAGTGTGTGTTGTGACAAGGGGCTTTGGATAGGCTCTATGGAAGGTGTGGTTTGCCTTATTTCCTCCGAGTTAAACTATTAGGATAGAAATATGTGGACTACACCTATATAACTAAACCTTTGTGGAACTTGTTGTGTAGGAATATATTCATAAATTTTTAAAGACCTTTTCCTGGCCCCAAAATGAATCATACTCACGATGTAGTAAGTTGGGAAACACAGAAAAGTGTGAAAAAGAAAATAAATCTTACAGATACCTACAGGCAGTATTCTGGTGTAGTTATTTTTTGTCTTTTTTTCTAAGCAACAAAAATATAAACAAATACATATAAAAATGTGATTATATTGGTTAATATGATAATAATAATTCAGAATTTAATATCCTTTTTTCCACTGAATAAAATGGTGTTGAGTTGCTAACCTTCCCCTTATATGTTCTTTATAAGGATCTATGACTTTCATGGCAAAAAAAAAAACCCCACCTTTTTACTGACTAGATATAGCGTAATAGAAGGTAAAGAATGGTATTTATAATTTTATAGCTTTTAAAGTTTTATTTTGTAAAAATAAAATTTTATTTGTTTAAAACTTTAAAATCTATGAAATTATAAATATACATCACATTTTTGACAATCAGTGCCTCTCAAAAGATAAATCAACTGGTACATGTCTCTATGTCTTCGTAACTCCTCAAAGGCTGCGAGGAACCAACAATTTAGATACTACACAAGGCCATATCTCAAGCGTCCATCTGAAAGTCAGTCTGTATTGTCACACATGGATAACCGAAGGTCTGTTTGTGAAGTCCACATGCTGAACTCCTACAAGCTGCAAAACAGAGTTGATGGGTTTGTGATCCAATCTATTCCTATCACGATGTATAAAATGGATGTAGGGACCTAGAAGACAATAAGAATAAAAGGCAGAGGTTGGCATTTATTATTATCTACTAGATTGATTGCTTACTAGAATCAAGGAAGCTTTTCAACTTTTAATTAGTCTAAAGGGAAAAATTAATTACCTGGAGTACATATGTTCCAGGTAATATGTAATACCATAACTTTTAATTAAGGTAATAAAGCATATGTAATATCATATGTAATACCATAATAATTTTTAATTAAGGTAATAAAGCATGACAAAGATATGGTTAAATAACAGTGATCCTTAATGTCTTATGAGATCCAAGGGGAAAGGTTCTTAAGTTAGAACCTTCTATTAGATTTTATTCAATGTAAGTAAATAAAATGTCCTGTCAAACAGGCAGAATATGGAACTAAAATAGATGTCAACTGGAAAATCATATCTTTTAAAATTTTTTATTTATTGATTTTTAGAGAGAGAGAAAGGAAGAGGGAGGGAGAGCAGGGGGAAGGAGGGGAGTGAGAGAGAGAGACTGCCTGATTGGTGGTTCTACTGCTTATGCTCTCATGGGCTGCTGCTCGTATGTGCCCTGACTGGAGATGGAAGCCGCAACCTCGGTGTATGGGGACAACACTCTAACCAACTCAGCTACCCACCCAGGGCTGTTTTAGTTTTTTGTATTTTTTAATTTTTTAAATGTGTTTATTCATTTTAGAGAGAGAGGGAGAGAGAAAGAGATATAGATGTTAGATAGAAACATTGATTAGTTGCCTCTTATACATGCTTTGACCAGGAATCAAACCCACAACCTAAGTATGTGTCCTGACCAGGAATCAAACCCCCAGCCTTTTGGTGTACAGTATGATGCTCCAACCAACTAAGCCACACTGGCCAGGGCCAGGGCTGTTTTTAAATGTAATAATGGAATAAATCACTCACAAAAATCCACTCTCAAATACTGATTTAAATGTCTATCTGCATTATAACTACAGACCAAAAGAGGCTGATAATAAGGACATTAAGACAGTAAGTTAAGTCCTTAGAAGTTTACAATCCTTTTATCTGCTAAAATATAAAAAGTCGTAATTTATAGTCTAGTTCTCTTCCTTGGTCTCAAGATCAGAATTTTAACTGAAAACATTAGATTCAGGAAACATTATCAGAGGCATGTTTTCTGCATTACATTTATCTGCTGTCTACAGTAAATTATCATTATGGATTTAATGTAATAAATTGGCTTATTATCCAAATAATGCAAATGAGGCAAAATGAAATACTGGGTTCACCGTGATATAGATTTGTATAATTAAGTACACCTAGCTCTTTCCTTAGAGAAGCTACATTTTTCCCAGTAGGCAGTATTAAAATCTTCTTTTAAGTATGTTCCCAACTTGGGACACAAATGACACTCTCCCTGCACTCTTCATTCTTATACAACTGAATATGTGGTCAAATGATGCCAAGACATGGAGATGAGGGACTCAGAAAGATGCCTCCTTCCCAGGTCTGAGGATGGAAATGAGTCATTCAGAAATATAACTCAATGCTGTTCTGGGATAAATTATAGGACTCATTCTCATAAAACACGGCTTCTTTTTTGGCTAGTCTAACTGATGTAAATTCATGAGAGAGAGAGAGAGAGAGAGAGGAAGATTAAATAACAGGTTTTTAGCTAGCTACAGTGTTCTCGATGCAAAAAGCCCGAAAGTCATAATGTTCGGTCAAAATCGCCTTTTCTAAAGACGTCTGTTTAGCTATCTGGAATTGATTAAAATAAATGTAAATTTTGTAACTCTTAGAAGCTACGCTCACTAATGTGGACATTTTTATCCTCACCCAATGTTATGTTGATTGATTTTAGAGAGAGAGGAAGGCTAAGAGAGAAAAACATCAATCAGTTGCCTCTTATACTCACCCCAAATGAAAACTGAACTCGTAACCTAGGTATGTACCCTGACAGGGAATCGAACTTGCAAACTTTTTGTGTATGGGACAACTCCAACTGACTGAACCACCCAGCTAGGGCAAACATGGACTATTTTATTTTATTCATTGATTTTTTAAATGTTATTTATTTTTAGAGAGAGGGGAAGGGAGAAAGGAGGGAGAAGGAGAGGGAAAGAAACATTGACGTAAGAGACATCAATCACCCTTACTGGGGAACCTAGCCTGCAACCCAGGCATACGCCCTGACAGGGAATCGAACTGGTAACCTTTCACTCTGTGGGACAACGCCCAACCAACCGAGCCACACTGGTCAGGGAAAATGTAGACAATTTTAAAGAGAAAGAAGGACTAAGAAAAAATAGTTTACAACATAGTGATAGGTATTTTGACACTGTCATGTATGGGTGTTTGTCCCTGATTGCAATACTTAAACATGGTAAAGCTTCAACACTCAACCATTCAGCAGAGTGGGGCTAAAGGAATTTCCGGTGGTCCAAACTGATCAACAAAGCTAGAGCATGTGGCTTACTGTTATTGAACGAGCTTTTCTTGGGGCTGACTTGCTGTCTGACACTAAGCAAGTCTCCTACTTTTGTTAGATATAATTAACTAGATTGATTTGTCCATTGACCCCCCCCCCAAAAAAAAAAAAAGTGCTTGATGACTTTCTCCTATTTGGAAATGTTCACCTCCACTGAATTTTTTTAAAGAGTGTTATAGCCATATACAGTTCACCAAATCAAGACTGGCTTTTCCTATCCCAAATGTCTGAAAACACTCGGGCACAGAATGATGGACACACTACATCCAACATACAGACACCAAACTACACACATGAAAACAAAAGTTGTCCCCTACAAAAGCACAGCATCCTGACTGGGAAAATGTCAAGTTGCCCATTTTTATGTGATTGTTATTTTATGAAGAAAGCAAGTGGTCTCTGGACTTCTAAAAGGCAGAAGAAGTGTCTTGCTAGGCCTGAGCTTTGGTGCTTACCTGGACCTAAAATGAGGGTTCCACCCTGCTGAATTGGATCTCCTTGAAAATCAAAAAGAGGGCCAGTCACTGCCCGCCACAGGCTCCGAATGCTCCCTGAGAGTATATTTGACTTTATATGGGGACTCTGTCCTGAAATATTAAAAAGTGTCTTTAGATGTTATCATTTTATATTCAATTAGTTATTTAAAAACATGTTAGTACTTCTATAAAACATTATCTTTTAGTTAGTACCTCTTAACTTGAATTGTCTTTTTCTTTTTCCTTCGAAGAATGGTTTCTCAGCATTTTACTGTGGATGTTTTAGTCCAGATTATTCTTTGTCCTATGCAATGTAGGGTGTTTAGCAGCACCCTTGACCTCTGTACCCACTAGATGCCTTAACCCACACCATCCACCAAGTTGTGACAACTAAAAATGTCTCCAGACAATGTCAGATGTTCTCTGAGGAGAAAAACTGTCCCAGGTTGAGGATTTCTGCTTGAAAGGAAAAAGTGATGACAGGCCCAGATTATCTGCCACAGAAAACTGTCTGCTACAGACTTCTCAAACTGGTGGTGCTTTCCTTTTAAATTCTCCATTTATTCATTGTTTAGTCTCTAACCTACATGTAGGTAGCTAACTCCTCAAGACACATTGTAGCACAGTGTTATATGCTGGTCAAAACCTGTTTCTTCTTCCTGGGCCCACAACTGAACTACATCTCCCAGTCTTTCTGACAGTTTGGTGTGGCATGTAGCTGTGTTCTAACCAGTAAGTAAAATGATGTGTGGCAGCTCCTAAAATCTGCCACAAGTGATTCTCCATGTTTCTTCTACAATCTTGGGAGCCTTGGGCTAAAAATGGCAGAGCCACAAGGTGGTAAGGGCCTGGGTCCTTCCATATTGTCTCTCTGAATTGCTGCTTGGACACAAGGCACCCAAACAGGTGAGTCTTTCTTGAGATGGAAAAGAAACCTTTGACCATGTCATGCTACTAAGACTCTGGGGTTTAGCTTTAACTATGACAGCTACCTCTCCATCTTTCTTTGGCTGTCAGTTTTTCTATTTCCTTTCTCACAGTGACTGATACTTTACTTCCACTCTCTTTGAGTGAAGAAACTTACTCACTTTATCCTTCATGTAACTTTATTTTTCTCCTATCCCTGTCTTTTATGACTTGCTTTTAATTTTTTTGATTATGCTGCCTTTGACCTGCCTGACTTAATATTCCCAGATACTTATTATTTTCCTTTATTTCTTGAACTCTTCTGTTCCCTTCATGTTTACCTTAGAATGGACATTCATCTTACCAAGAAACAAATATAGGCTCATTAGCCTCAAGACATGGGGAAAAGTCATTTTTACTGTTTTATAGGATTCTATACCTACAATAAATATTCAGAAATCCAACCTATTTCCTTATGTCCAAAGGAAGGGTCATTTGATATTTTTGAAATGATAGAAATTCAACTGAAGGAGATTCCACAACCTAGAACTTAACAATCTTTGCTGTGAAGCAGACTCTAATTTTGCCAGTTTGAATTTAGTTCTTATGCATACAATTGTTGTTTTTCAGTTTTTTCCTGTGTAGTTGGATTCTTGGACTCAAGATCAAAATTCTACCTTAAAACACTAGGTGAAGTAAATATTATAAGAGGCATGTTTTCTGCATTGTACTTATTTCGCACCTATAGTCATCACTATAGATTTAATATCATAAATTTGCTTATCAAATAAGACAATGAAATACCATTGGGGAAACACATAACTCCCTTGCATTTAATGGCTTTCTTACGTTTTTTCTTTATAAAATGTCCCATTAATTTAACATTATAATTGTGTTGTATTTTTTAGTGTGTTGATTTCAAGTAGGACTATTCTGAGACTGATTCTGAGATATATTCTGTTTCAGGGAGAAACTTTTTAAAATTATTTTATAAGAACCTAGTGTTTTCCATTTGGAAATACAGTACTTTAACACAGGTCAAAGAAGTTTCAAAGATTTGACTATACCCTCTCATAATCGCAAGGGTATATCCTGTTTAGAATTCATCTGTTTTCTTTGCAATTCTGTGTCTTTGTTGTGGCAATGCATGGTGAGGTGCTACTAAAGTGAAAACCGCAGTTTACAGCTAAAGTGCTAAATGTCACAGAGACTTTACACATACTGAGCCTCTGTCACAGCACAGGATATCAGTCTATCAAAAAGCACAGTCCACAACTGATACTGTTGAAATTTCCTACGCTAAGGAGAGAAAAAGAACAAACTCTGTGTTTATGCTAGCTCATCAACAGTTTTAATAAAGTTTAAGTTGCTTTCTTTAAAAACATCAGTAAATGGACCATGTCAACTCTATCTCATAAATGGCTCTCCAATCCATCCCCTCCTGTCCACCCACCTCTACTTCAGGCCCTGTCATTTCTTTCTAAATTACTACAACCTTGTCACAAACAGGCTCTGGTTGGTGAGTTCCAATTCCTTCTCCACTGTGGACACATGACTGGATCATGTGTCCACATCAAATACCTGTATGACTCCCCCACTGCCTCAGAACAAATCGAAGCTCTTTGGCTTCTCGCGCCCCCACTCAGCATGAATGGCTACAACCTGTCTCTTGCTCATACCAATTCCCAAACTGGCTCCTACACTCTGGCCAGATGCAGGGACCTGCACTTCTTCTAAAGAGTCAAGTTTTTGCATGCCTGTGTGCTTTTGCCTGTGCTCTGTCAGCAGCACCCTTTTTCAGCCTCATTTCACCCAGCGAACTCCTTTAAGAGTGAGCCTAGATGACACCTCCTCTGAGAAGCCTTCCCAGATACTTGCTCCCCTCACATTTCTAGCACAGGTATTCCCAGAACATGTTTTCTTTTACAGGCCCTTATACTGGATTGTAATTAGCTATTTGCTTCTGTCACTCAGAACAGATTATTGAGCTTTGGGGTGGCAGGGGCTGTGTTTTTCATCACTATCTTCCTGGAGCATCCAACACAGTGGTTGTCAACAAACAAGAGCTCAATAATATTTGTTGAGAATTAATGATTTGAGTTCAAGTTGAGTTCTCGTATTTGGCATTTCAGGAGCCAAGTTTCCCCTACCTAAAACACATACAACAGTTCACATATTAAGCTTTATTAATTATAAAAGAATTGTGCTAAGGGCAGGGAATGTTGACCACATAAAGGTGAATAAAACAAACTCTTCAACTAACAATACTCCCAGTCACTTTACATGCAATAACTAAGTATATAATGAAGTACAAGGTGCTATTAAAATACAATGAGGGAAGCAATTACCTCTGCCTGAAGAGCTATTAAGAGCCCCTTTGAGTTGGGCTTCAAATAAAAAATAAGATTTCATCAATTAAAGAACATAGGGTATTCAAGTCATGATGAGGTATAAAAATATATTAGCTTAAGCAATTATTTTTCTTTTAATTACAAAAGTAAAATGTACTCATTGTAAAAACTTATAAAAAGCCACTTTTCTCATTTCCATTCCTTGGGGTAAGTACTGCAATATCTTTTACAACCTTTTTCATTGTATTCACGCATACATGCTACAGATCTTTATGGAATAGATCTTCTAGTTTTCAGAGGACTGGATTCATATTGAAAACGGTGTCTTGCAACCTGCTTTTTAACTTCATTTAGTTCTTTACAAACAGCTTTCCATGTCATTACACCCAGGAAATGAATCTTTTAGAGCCTGGTATATCTGGACCACTTACTAGAGTCATAAAAAGCAGTCTGATTTATTAATTTACCATTTATTTCCTTATGCATAGATTCAAATGTAAAAATACACTATCAGTGTTTTCTACTTGAGACATGTCATGTGTTACCTGAGGAGGTAATTTCTTCACCTCTTTTCATTCCCAATCTTTTATAAATTTCTCTCTCAGGATCAACATAGATTTCATGACAATACCCAGTCAGTTTGCAGAAAGGCTACAAAAAGAAAATATTTGGGATTTTTATAAGAAACTAAAAAAAAGTAATTATAATCTAACTTTAGATTATAATTATAATCTAAAATTATAATCTAATTTTAACTATAGTTAGTGGTTCAAATCATATAATTTTGATGTCTGTTAGTTAATTTTAGTCTGTTAGTTTTTCAATTTGTGATATTTACCTCAATATGATGGTAGGATGACTGTCCAATCACTATAAGGGTGACATTTGCCTCCTTTAGGAGAAAAAAAACCCACATGTACATATTATTAGAAATTATATTTTCTACAATTTCCCCATAACCAGCTCTTTTGTTCCATTCTAATGCCATCTATAGGCTTCTAGAAGGATGGAATAAAGAGCAAAATTGTATGGGTCAAAGCAAAGAAATACATGCTAAAATGTTTAATTCAGATGATCTTTTGCTAAGTAACAGCTTTAAAATAAGATTGTCAATAATTCTTTGTACTCCCCTCCCCAAAGTATACTTTAAAAAAAGAACAAAAACTATTAGTTATTTAATCAGTTTTATTTTTTCACTGCACAGTTTGTAAGGTCAGCTGCAAACATACCTGAGTTTTACTAATGCCTTCACTCAAAAGCTCACCTGGGGACAACATACATGTGCCTGAAGACAAACACATGTATTTGGCTGCCACAGGGATGTGGAATGTGTACAAATACAGTTTTTCACCTTTAAGATATATTAATATTTTCATATAATGAACAATTATTTGGAGTGTTTTTATTACAAAAATAAAGGACAGAAGTATCAGTAATTGCCAGCATTTGTACTTTTGGTCATTATCATTCAACAGTTGTGAATAGGCAGCTTACTAGGTAACATCAAAATTACTACTATGGTTAGTATGTTTGTAAGCAAGCAGTTACGAATACATTAAGACAGAAATAGATTTCTAAAGTGTGTCTCTCATTTTTGGAGGTGCTGCAGAGATGTGTGGAAAAGTGATAATCTGGGTTTGTCAGCATCTGGGCTGGAAAGGCAGTGCCCTCGGCACCCGACCCCACTGCACTTCTTCCAAATGACGGGTGACTTTCACAAGGTTGCCCTGAAGCAGGGCACGCTGCTGCTCACTCTCAGGAAACTTACTTGTAAGAGACTCTTGGGGATTTTGGCTAGATCTTCTACGTATTCCTTGCAGGTGTAACACAGGAAATGCTGAAATCCCAACACGGCAAAAAGAACAAGTCAGCAACTAACACCTCACAGGGTCCAGAAAGGACTGAGTACTTCGTTTCTCGAGACTCTTAAGTCAACACCCACGGTGGGCAGAAAAAGGTGTTAAGGGACGCACAACGCGCATTAAAACTGGGCCGCACACCGTCCCGGCTAGGCTTCCTCGCTCGCTGAGAAAATGGCCCTGGCCTGGAGGGCTGTTAGTCCCTTCCCGTTACCGGAAGCCAGGGGACGCTTCGCATTCAGGACGCCTCTAGCGGACGACAACAGGAAGGGCCGGGCGGACTCCAATCTCGACCCCAGACCGTCCGAGGGTCCCGATGTGCCCCCCGCCGAGGCTGTGCAGGCAACCTCCCTCCCAGCCAGCAGGCGACGCCCCCGGCTCCGCGCTGCCCCTCCGCCCGCGCTCACCCGCACGAAGATCACGATGGCTCGGCGCTCCCGAAACAGCGCGCCGAACGGCACCCGCCTCCCAGACGCGTCCAGCACGAGAAGCTCGGCCACGGCGGCCGCCAGTGGTTGCCCGCGCTCGCGGCCGCTTGGGACCGGGGCAGCGGCGATTAGGCCGCTAACCTGCCGCGTGATCGGGGCCGAGGCATCCATCGCGCCCGGCTTCCGCGGGCCGGATTCACGCCGGCCGGAGCGGGCGGGGCGTAGAGGAGGTGCCAGGCGGGACTGTGCCGTGGTGGGCGCCGGGGATCCGGCGCAATCCCGGCGGCGCTCAGGGGAGGCGGGGCTGCGCGGAGTTCCTTTCCGTACCGGCTCTGGGTGGGTGCCCACCCAATTTGCCTGCGTTCGCCTGGCCGCTCCGAGGTGAGGCCCTGCGGTTCTCGGTTTCTACGCGGCTCCTTAGGTCTGGATGCTGCAGAAAAGTGCAGATTGCCTGAGCGATGCTGACAAAGGCGCTTCTAGTAGAGAGAGTGTGATAGGTCCGATGCGAGAAAGTGTTATTTAGGAAGAATGCAGTCCCTGCCCTTCATAGCAGGTTGGGCTGACGCTAGTTCTTACCTACTCAGGAAAACCAGTTACCAAGGATCTTTTTTTTTTTTTTTTTTTAAACCGAGGACAACCATATCTAGGATCCAAAAGAATTATTGTTTTAACATATTCCGTTTTTAACTCACCCCCCTCTCAGTTTTGCCCGGTTTTTTTTTTTTCTGAGTTATTTACAGTGTAATGTACAGATCTTAAGTGTAGAGTTAGATTTTATTTTCAAATTAAATAAAAAATTTCCAACATTTTAGGATGGCATTTTAAACGTCCAAAAAGTTGAAAGAATTTCACAGTGAGCACTGTTATATCCACCACCTAGATTCTTAACATTTTATGCTACTCTATTATCACTTATCACCTACCATCTATCCACAGTTAGGTGCGTTTTGCCTGATTATCCACCCCTGTTATCCACCCCCCGCCATGAAAATATGGAACATTTTCATCACAGGATAAAATTCTTCCAGTGCTACTTTTTAAGAGCTGGTATAATAAACCTATTTTAGAAATGTACCTACTAGACTTACGGGGTGATCACTTTATAACATATAAATGTTTAACCCCTGAAACTAAATAATTTTGACTGTCAATGAAAAAAATCTTTATAAAAATAAACACAACATTTTAAATATCCGAGGGAAACAGGAGACATCGGTTTGACATCTTGCCTGTGAGTGGAGACAGCATATGATTTCGCTTTATACCACATTTCTTTTCCAGTGCATTTCTTTGGATGATGTCATATCTTTGTAAAGCTGGGTTTTCAACAGTTGTAATAAAAAGCCAAAACCACACAAAAATCACTGAGGAGGAGGAAATGAGGATGGTGGGGTCCAATCTGATTTTAAGGTTTGAGAAGTTGTGTAGTGCTCAACAGGCATGCACATCCTGGAGTGAAACAAAAATGTTAATTTTTCTTGAAATTTATGCATATATCTTCAAACAGCTATCAGGCATAAATACTTACTAAGTTGTTTGGACCCAACTTCTAAACAAAGGGAATGATAGGAAGTTCTTTTGGCCTAAGGGTACTGTGGATGAACTATTGAGAACTTGAGTGTGCTGTGAAACAAGAAAAATTGAGAACCTCTGAATTAGATGCTAAGCTCCTTGCCTTCTGCAGCACTGTAATATCTTCACAGGCTGGCATAAGGCCTGGCATATAGTAGGCCTCCACTATAATTGGTGAATGCATAGAATAGGCCAGAACTGGTGGTGCTAGGAGAGTTCTTACCAGGCCAGGTGGATCCCGTGTAAATGGGAGGAGAGGAGTTACAGTGCTCCTAAGACTGATGTTTTCTTCTAGCTGACACAGGTAGGGCAGGGCTCAGAGGACACATCCCACTGCAGGCTGGCCAGTCCACAGAAACTCATCAACCTAAACACCCAGCCAGTTTTATTTCCATTCAGATTATTCCAGGGATGAACCTAACCTGAATGTAGATGCCCAGATTTCCTTGGCTTAGTTTTCACTCGAACCACAGTTTTCACACTGGTCTCCCAGCAACTCCCTCAAACTCCCTGGTTCAACCTGGGAATATGTTAATTCATCAACTATTCCAGCCCAATTTGAAAACCTTGACCTAACTTCTGGTTATTTGATGCAGTGCACAATTTATTTTTCTAAAGCATTTGTTACAATTTTGTTAATTACAGGCATACCTAGAGGTACTGTGGGTTTGGTTCCAAACCACCATAATAAAGTGAGTATCACAATAAAGCAAGTCACACAAATTTCTTTGTTTCCTAGTGCATACAAAAGTTATGTTCACACAATACAGTATTCTACTGAGAATGTAATATCGTTGCCTAAAAAACAATGTACGTACCTTTATTAAAAATACTTCATTGCTAAAAAATGCAAACCATCATCTGAGTCTTCAGTTAATCATAATCTTTCATTATAATTATTTGACATATTGTGAAAATTACAAAAACATGACACAAAGACACGAAGTAAGCAAATGCTATTGGAAAAAAGGGCACCAGTAGACTTGCTTGATGCAGGGTTGCCACAAACCTTCAATTTGTGAAAAATGCAGTATCTGTGAAGTGCAATAAAGCAAAGCATAATAAAATGTATGCCTATATTTGTTTCTTGTCCATTTCTTTAGTAGACTATAAATGCCCTGAAAACAATGTCCATATCTATCTTGTTCTGTATATATCTAGAATCTATCGCAAAGCCTGGTACATAGAAAGTACCCAGTTGGTATTCATGAATGGATGAACTTATTTTTGCTTGTCCTTAAGTTTTCCTCTTGTACTTTTCCCTCTCCCTGCCCTTCCCACTCCGTAGCCTTTTACTATTTTTCTTTGCTTCTCTACTATGTCTCTGACCACCAGTGTCACCCTGGCTGAGTTCTGCAGCTGTACCTTGATCTGAAAATAGTGCATTACTGGTTTATTTATCTCTACTGCTGTCACTAATGGACCTTGGTTTTCCTGAAACAAGGATTGTCATCTTCAAAAAGTTGTTTCGCCAAGAAGTAATTTAGGCCGAAGGGGTAACTTGGTGCCAATATATCCTATCAGCCTTTTGAAGAAAGCATTGCCCAGAGAAAAGCAGAAGTAAAAGGTTTCATTTTGCTTTCTTTGTCTAACTCTGTGCTCCTGAGAATGGAAAGAACAGTAAAAAGCTATCTCTGAAAGGAAACTTTGGGGTTTTATTATTAGCTATTAATGATTAGTGTCATTGAGTTTAGTATTGGCAGAGGAAATGAAGTACATAGATAATTGAGGATTTTAGAACTGAAAGAGATGTTAGAAACTACTTAGGCCCATGGAGGTAAGGAATCTGACCTGTGAGGGTAACTCACAAGGTTGAGCCCAGCTCCTTTCAGGCCTGGCTTCATTCCAGCAGGTGCTGTTGTCCTTGCATCTACTCCTTACAGCATCTTTTCATGATTTCCTTCCTGTCTACAGGGAGAAACATTCTCCCTGAGTTACTTCTCCAGATGTAGGTAAGAATCACCAAGGGAATGTACTGATGTTGGTTTGTAAACCGTAGAATGTCCTGCATTTATAAGGCATTATTACTACAAAAGAATTTCTAAAATGCTTAGACATCCAAAAAAAGTAAAGGACATTCTACAAAATTCTTGATCAATACTCTTCTAAAGTGTTGAAAGTCATACAAGACAAAGACCAAGAAGCCGTCATCTGTAGGAGATACAGAGTCATTAGAACTAAATGCAATGTGGTATTCTGAACTGGCTCCTGGAACAGAAAAAGGTCATTAGTGGAAAACTAGAAAATCCAAATAAACTCTGTACTTTAGTTTTAAAAGTGTTAACTTTTTAGTTTTGACAAATGTATCATAGTTACATAAGATGCTAATGTTAGAGGAAGGTGAGTAAATGTTAAACAGGAACTCTCTGTACTAGTTTGCTATTCATCTGTATATCTAAAATTAGTTCAAAATGAAAAGTTAAAAAATGTTCCAGAGTCCAAGTAACAAGAGAGAAAAGTGTGAATACAGTTACAAATGATTTACCCAGAATATGTCTTATTCTGGTTTGGATGTTACATTTGGTTACTTTCCAATGGATTTGTTTTTTAGAGTATTAATCGCAGTGTATTATAGTTTTCTTTACCCTTTAAGCTTCTGAGGATATATAACCTGTGTTTCTCATAAATTCCTTAATTCTTGCACTCAAGATGTAAAAGACAGAACCATTCACACAGTCAACAAATATTTACTCAGTAACTTCCCTGTGTTAGGCATTATGTTATAAACTAGAAAGATTAAGATAACTAAGACAAGCCCAAGGCAAAGAGCTAATAGTGTAGTTGGGAAGATAATCTCATAATAGTTGTGATGAAGAGTAATCAATAATACAACAGAAGTATGACTAATGTATAGTGAGAACTTACAATGCTTTTGGTTTCAAGTAACAGAAAACCTTGATTCAAATGGTCTTGTATCATAAGGATATTATTTACCATAACAGATAAGTCAGGGCCAGCCTGAGTTCTAGGTATGGTATAAGCAGGACTTCTCCCTGAGCTATTCTTTTGGCTCTACCCTCCTCTGTGTGGGTGTTGCCCTTAGGTTGGCTTCCCACATTGTCAGACTGGTTGCCAGCCGCAAGAGAGTGGCATTTCCTAAAGAAACCTAGAATGTCTTCATCTTCAGAAGCCCTGGCAAACTTCTCCTTTTAGTTTGTGTACCCAAATTAGCTTAGACCTATTCTTCCTTGAACCACTGTCTCGCAAAAGGATTAAATATCCTTGACTGATTTAAATTGATTATTATTTGGATAGAATAGACACTGGGGGGAAGGCCAAAATGACCAATTCAAGGACAAAGAAAAGAACGATCAATTTTCCAAAGATGATGTCATGTAATAAAATAGACAAAGAGAGCAATCAGAGATGAACTCAACTGGTAGCAAATTTTCAAACAGAATGTGCAATCTCTGTAGTTGTGCTGGTTATCCATGGATTCAGTTCAGCTGCAAATCTACCCTTCAATACTTGCTCTCTGGTAATGGAGCGTTTCTCCTGTGCAGTAAACACATGGTAAGCTTTGTCAATTAAGCAGGTGTTTCTGAGGTTTTGACAGCTGGGGGCCTTTATGACTCAAAAGGACTTCCAGCTAGTCAGCTTCAAGAGATAGTGAAGGGCTTGCGTACAAGCACAACTTTCACATGCACAACTCAAGGATGCAAGTTCCATACTCTTCACTACTCCTTTATGTGGCTAACACTG